GGCCAACGTAGTCGGTTCTTTTTTCTTTTTCACGTGTCATGTGGGCAGGTGCAGCGAGGCAACACTGATAATGGATGCACGTGCTTGTGCATTTTGTCGCCACTCTGTTGTCTTCTTAGAAGCGTCAGGAAAACCCAGCAGTCATGTTGAAAAATTGATACTAAAACTGTGGAACTTGTAAAGACTGTTTCAAGAATGCAATAATAGCTGCAAGGATTGTACTCCCAAGAAACTTCCGGTCACCTTATTCATCAGACTTTAACAACAAAAGGGAAAATGTGTGTTCACGTTTCGTAAGAGTAAGGAAAGCCACTCGTTACAGTGGCCTAGTGGCTATGGTGCTCGACTGCTGACCCTCTGGTCGCAGAATGAAATCCTGGCTTGAAGCCCATGTGCTTCTGTTTAGGGTACTCATTAAAGAAGTTCAAGGCGATGAATTTTCTAGAACCCTCAGCTAGGGCATCTCATAATCATATTGTGATTTTAAGACGCTAGTATACACCAACAAATATCACTACAATGAGGAGAGGCCCAGTTTGCGTTTTTCACAGAAAAGGAAGCCACTTGAAATTCAAGGATACCTCTTATAATGTTGAGTAGAGATTAACAGAATACAGTATAGACTGCTTATAACATAAGTCGTGGAAGTCACGAATATCAGCACTACCATATTTACTGACGTAATCTTCGCAATAGCATAATTCTCGCACCCCCCACATCACCCAACAAAAATACGACTTCTTTTTTTCTTCGAGTAATTTTCCCACTCCCGAAAACTGCCACAATAATGTCGTCTGCTTGTTCCAGCCACTGACGATGATAGCGCGTGTCATCTGGCGCCATCTCTTAAGCATCAAGCATACTATCATTGCTCACAGATTCAGTTCAATTCAAGCCAAGCCAAAGTATCAAATGTGCATTGCGGCGTGTTTTGTATGTTGTGCCGGTAATCTTGTCACGCTATGGAGCGATACTGAAGGTACACGGCAGCTTTCAAGTTTAAAGTGATAGATCATGCACTAAACAACAGCAACAGGGCTGCCGGTAAGCCCTTTAGAGTCTACGAGTTTTGTGTTCACTACTCGTGACGTCAGCTGAAAGCCACCAAGAAGTTTGGGGCCTGCCCTGTGCCTAAAATTGGAATTGATGGTAAACTTTATTTCTTCAGAAACTGCAGACTATTCTTTTAAATAGCCATCAGCCCAATAGTGACATCCTATGGTTACCTTTTGAGGGATCCTGTTGAGTGACGAACGCTACCGTTACGCCCGCGACGCCCTCAAGCTTTCCGTATGGTATTCTAATTCTCGACTATTAGCTTGCACTTTTTGTGTCTCAAATAAATCTTGCCTTGTGTTGAACCTGTGCTTTTGTTGCTGAGGTAAGTTTTAATTAGCACTTCTCAAAGCTTGCTGTTAGTCGCTGGTGGAAGAATCCCGATTTGCGGTCGCTTCTTTTTCTTTTTAGCTCTGTACGCTTTCGCGGAAAGATTTTCCCGCCTAATTCTCGAACCTCCCCCCCCCCCCCCATTGCATAACTTTTCCGCCAACAAAAGTGCGAGTATTGTGCGAGTAAATAAGTTATAAGTAGAACGGCACTATAACCAAAATAACCTTTTCCAAAGGCCACGCTTGCACCAAATGTGTTGAACATGCAGCGCGCGTGTCTGAGAATCGAAAGATGCGATGCGTGCTTGCTAACATTCAAATTTCTGAATGTTAAAAAAAATTTAGGTCCAACGACGCTTGTTGCCAATGAAATGAACACGAAATGGGGGTGTCCAACAAATGAAAGCACCATCGCGGAAATTCGCCGACTACCAGACCGCCTCGATTATGTGCATTACACAGAAACTATGGCGAATCACACCCAGATTTTGACGCGTTGAAAGACGCGAACCATTCGATTTCACGGGTGCCCACCCAATTGAAGACATCGCAATCAAATTGCGAACCACTATTTGAGCGCTACACGTGCTGCCCTCGTTTTCATTAACAATATGTATCCCTTCCCGTCAAGTGCGGCCACTGCAAAGAGTATTGTTGATTCGGTACCAAACCGCAACTTAGATACACACGACCACTACCGATCGAAGTGCAACCAACGCCGATTAGCCCTAGCTTGGCATTTGGTATGTTGTCACGGAAAGTTTGTCACAAAACATAGAGTTTCGGCGTCAAAAAGATCGCACCAGCAGTGAACCAAGAACAGCGTGCGTGATACAAAGTGTGCGTTCAAGGCCGGGAGATCAGGAACAACGACAACTCAGCAAGCTTACGCAAGACAGCACGCTGGCAGCAAAAGTGAAAGGTCGCGTCATAAAACTGTAAAAGTTTTTCAATTTATGGACGAAGAAACAAATGCGCTATCTGTTGCACGCTCAATAGCGACGACGTCTTTCCCAACAGGAAACTTAAATGCATTCAGTTGATAAGGATGGGATCGCACATGCTACATTGAGCGGCGCGTGGCCGAAGCCACCTAGTGACGTAGTGCGCTGTAGCCGCGTCAGCGCCGATGCAAAGGCTTATCGGTGATTGAGGAAATCGTCCTCCTCCTTACTTGGAGAGCCCGAGCAATGTTCAGCGGTCTTTTTTCGTTTTCTTTTTCTTCCCCCCACTTTTCATTCGTTCACTCTGTGTACCCTCCTCCTCCATAGCGACCTCCTCGTTCGGTTCCGAGCCGCGCACCCAGCACGCCTTCTTTCAAAAGCGCGCTCGCTACCGCGTTTGTCACAAACAATTTTCGACTACCGCATTATAACCGGTCTTTCATCTTGGCGGACTGTACAATAAGCGGTATGCATACACATGAGGTTCTATGGGAAGGTAAACGGGAATAGAAAAAGACCACGTTGTAAGCGGTTCTGCACTATAAGTGGTTACGTCATAAGTGGTCTATACTGTACTTACTTAAAATATATGGCAGAACACAGGGAGAAAAGAGTTAAAAAATACTGCGGTCTATTCGCTAAACATTTCTCTACCCCAATGCTGGTAGGCAACATCAGTGAACAAAACTGAAAGCCCTCCAAGGCATGTGTTTGGAAACAGTGAAACCATCTATAAAACAGTGATCAACCAATGTAAAAAAAGCACTCATCAGACAGTGAAATACTACCTAAAGGAGTATGTTTCGTGCCGCCCGTCCCTTACACCACAGACGCCGACAATCATATTTTGCATTTGATGAGGCATCTAAGGCTATCTAAGGTCTTTGTCCTAATAAACGGTCGTCAGTACCGTAGTCGGAAGTGCGCCTACAATGTTACAAGACGGTGACGATGAAGTGGTCGAGACATAAAAAAACCAAAAAATTGAACTTGACGACATCAAGCCTGGCAAACTAACAATCAATCACTTGAATATAGTGAACGTTAAAAAACATGGCTTCCTTACAAAAATAGTATGTATTATCACCCAAAGAAGCAAATGATCTACGGCTTAGGCGACCTGAGCAGTTGCAGGGTAAGGGCGAAGTTGCACATCACCCCGTGCGTTCTCGCCACCAGTACGCGGTGCTAAATAGCAGCGCCGCATTGAGGCTCCACAGCTACTCCTGCAACCTAAGCTAGGGACCATTTACTTCTTCGGCAGATAGTACAATGATTTCTTTTCTCTGGCAATTCTACAACATTTAATTTTTCTTGGTCCAAGTAGGCATAGATGAGCCAGCTCAAAAAAGTGGCATCTGACTTTGAAACAAAAAAGTACTTTTCTGGTGTGATGAGGAACATACTCGGTAGCTCATAGGCCCAAGCTATCATGTAGTGTTGAGAAGCGTCCTCCTCTTTCCCATGGAGGGACCCACTGCTGTTGAGCTCGCAGCGCTGCCTTTTGCGTGCATGCCTGTTGATTCATCATCGCCATGCTGCGAAGCCGCTACCTCTACACACAATAAATTGATGTGCTTTTAGTATGCCTGTCAGGCACTTCAGATGCAATTGAAGATTTTGGCCCCCGTCGCTTCCGAGAAGTCGGCAGTAGAGCCAGCAGTTTTCACAATGCTTTCCTAGTTTTTGTTTGCTGCGCAGTTAGGTATGCTGGGCAGCCCCGGTGAAATTGCAGGTACAGCCTCCGGAGTGAGAACAGGTTTTTTTGGTGTGTGCAACAGGACGTTTCTCTTCTATTTTGAATGATATGTGGTAGAGATTGCGTCTTCCAGGAACTGCTTCGCGCATGTATGGTCAGCAGGCTGAAGCTTCCGTCAGCTTTCGCAATTGACCACCGCCTGTTATCCTAGCGTTCTGGTTTACGCGGAGCCTTGAAAGGCGACACACACTCCGTGCAAGTTCGATACCCCGACTTACAATTCAGCAAGAAACACCACTTGCCCCTTTAAAGGCGCAGCCAGCGACAAGACCACTAATGTGTACTGCGAGTCATAAGCCGCGTCGAAGTACACAAGCACTAAAACACATTCAAAGCTCACAGGCACAGGAAAATTTGTGACAAGATCACCAAATCCCATGCCTGCAAACCTTTCAGGAATATGTTCTTTCGCGCTCAAATACCTGGCGCCCCATACAGTAGCGTCATCTCAACTCGCGTGACAGGAACTACTCGTACCTGAAGGTCATCGGCAAACACAATCTGCCTGTGCTCCCTTCTTGCGCGGAGCAGCAATTGTCGACACCTTGCTTATTCTTACACCGTGATCATGGCTCACATCATATAGCTAAGAAGACATGCCCTGGTGGTGCCCGATCTTACTATGTAGTAATGTCACCAAGCTGTCCAAAAGGGAGTTTTAGCAAAGGCCACATGGAACATACCAGCAGACTGTACATACAGCTTTGCAGTTGGAACAGGCAAGGGACAATTATTTTTCTTGCAGGCAACAACTTTTTGTCAACTTCATACCATTGACTGTGTAATATTCATGCGTTAAATGAATCAGTGATGTTGCAGCACCTGAACTGACTTTCTAAAGTTCCCTTATGCATTACATTTACAATAAAATATTTACATAAACAAATAAGGTTATGTTAACACTTACACGTCCATGCAGAGGAGTCCTTCACTTCATGGCGCTGAAGGCCTCCTATACCGATACACAAAAAATTAAAAAAAATTATATTACATCTATTCTTTCAAATATATCTAGCATATTATTACCACACACGTAATTTAGGTATGTGCATCTGTGTAGCAGGGAGGAGGGAGGTGACAGAAGAAGAGCATGTTCAGGCATTGGCAAAGGTATCCGGTGCACATTCATTCTGCACCTTCAAGCCGATTGTTGCGTCGCCTCTGAATAAAATTAACCCTTCTTTTGGACATAATAGAGTAGTGGAGGTGCTGGGTACAAAACGTACGTACCACAGAGCCACAGCTGTTTGAACTTCACCGGAGCTGTCGTCTTGCTGGTCTGCCATCGACAACAGTCGTCATGGCCCAGTGCAAAGGTCAAAAACCAACCGTCTCAACTACGCACAGGTCTACGCCGACTAGGCATCACTACATGGAACCCCACCCGTTCGCAGGAAGGGCAGGAGAAGATGTGGATTTGTAGCTATCGCATTACAAAAGGGTGGCCGGTAAAATAACCACAGTCGTACATCGCTACAACGAAAAATTCACGGTTCCCCATCGGCAGTCCATAGGAGTAAATGCATAAATAATGTCGCCGCAATGAACACTTTTTCTTCTGCCGTCTAGATTCAACGAAATTTCATGGAGAAATACCAAGCTCAAAAAATAATTACACAGTCTTTAACATTTTGATGCATTTTCAGAACTTGAAAATACGTCGACCAAGTCTAAAACACGCGTTGGCACCACCAGAAACCACCACCCCTCGGCAAGCAAGTGCTCCGCCATTGCTCGATAGTGAGAGCAATGAGACTGCCCAGCTTTTTTCACTGGCTTGCTTTTAAGCCGCAGACGATCCGAAGCTGAAGCTCAGTTGCTTAGTTCATGATTTTCTTTCACGCAATTGTGCGGAACGATGTCTTTTTCGAAGCCAATGCGTATCATTTCGTTCATGCTTGGCCATCGTGGTAACTAATCAGAGCAGCTGTTCGTCCACATTATAATAAAATCAGCTAGTCACAAGTGGTGAATGTAAGAATCTCATAAACTAAGGCAAACGTCACCGCTCCATGATACCCTGCCTCCATCTTGGCGTTGTCGGATACAATGGCGGACAGCTGCTGGTGTTAACGTGTTAATGCAGCTGTTTGGTTCGTTCTTGAAAGTGGTTATAGGCCTTGTTTCAGCCTGCTTTTCACCATGGCCTATCTATGCATGTGTGAGAATCGCATCACGACGGTGCTAGGAAAGAATAGAAAGCAGTGGACACTTTTTGAATTTTGAGAATAAACGTTACTTTGTTTTGCTAGCTCTAATCAGCTATAGTTTATCAATTTCACTACAATAAAATTTTCACTTCAACAAAACCTTTTCGCGCTCTGTCAGTTTCGTTGTAGCAGGATTCGACTGTAGAACTCTATCAATCAACTGAAAAACGTTGCGTTGCTTCTTATGGAAACCACCCTGATGAGGTACAAAAATCACGAAGAGTCCTTGACAACATGGCATCTTTTTGGTTAAGAACTGAAGAAGTGCTTCAGTGACTCCGATTCGAAAAATAAAAGCGCAGAGCGGGCGCTCGTTCAAAGAGCTCAGACTCCGGGAGAAACGTGCACTACCTACATATAGAACATTCTGAAGGTTTGTAAAATTGTTAGCCCGCAGATGTCTGACGAAGACAGGGTCGGACACCTCTTGAAGAGTATAGTTGAAGACGTTTACAATTTTCGGAAAGGTATGGATGACTTCACCTCCGTCTCTAATGTTCAACGTCACTGCAACACATTTCAGAAACTGAAGACTCGTCGCATTGCTTCGAAACTTGGTAGGCTCGTAGATGTGACAACGGTCGCTACCGTCAACATGTGCCCACCCACCGACCTTGCCGCTACTATTCAGGCAACAGTGCGTCAAGAGCTGCAGGGACAAGATGAATGGGCTGACGACACCATCCCTCATTTGCCTGCATGTCCACCTTACTACACGGCGGCATTAGCTTCTTTACAACAATCAGTATGTGTGAAAGACATCAACAAAACTAGAACTCCGACGCCACGTCATGACTCTTTTGCGTCCAACCAGAATTTCGGCCAACGCATTCGTCTCAGCCCTGCCCCACAGGGGTGATGATGATGATGATAATGTGTGGCGCTTTATGGCGCAAGGGCCAATTGATGGCCAAAGAGCGCCATTTCAATTAGTATAGAGATGTGGACAATGATATGTTGCGTGGCTGTATAGGGGCCTTAAAATTCCTCGCGATAATGCGGGTAAAAACATAAGTATTAAAGACATGACAGTGACGTGATATGCATAGTAAAAAGGGTGACAAAGGTTTTGATAATAGAAACGTGTAAAAAGATTTGGCACTAGCACAAGTGCCTCATCAGCGCGTTTGTGTCCAAGGGCTGTGAGGCAAGTGCTATCTTGTATAGCCACCGCAGCAAAAACCTCTCTGGAGAGGTCGTGCTACGGAATCCCGGGGGTATATGATATGAAAACTATGAATTTCTTTTAAAAACGCTAATAATGACTTATGACTAAAAAGCGGTTCCCTACCGACGAACATTGCAGGGTGTCTAGGTATATGTTGTCGGTCGGGTAATGGAAAGTGTTGTTTTCATAGAGTGTCCAATTCTTTGCACTGAAATAAAATGTGGAGAACTGTTAGTGCTTCACCACATCTGTCACAATATGGTGGATCGCCACCGGACAAAAGATATGTGTGTGTCGTGTATGTGTGTCCTATCCTGAGCCTTGTTAGTGTTACCTCAGTTAGACGTGATTTTGATAATGGTGGCCAATGGCCAAGGTGTGGCTTGATAACGTGTAGCTTGTTTTGTGTGTGTCTATCCCACTTGCTCTTCCAGTAGACCCTGAGCTTTCGTTTGAGAGACGTCTTAAGATCAAGGGGCGAGATCGATATGGGTGTGGTGGAACTGATTTCGTGGACGGATGCAGCAAGCTGATCCGCCATCTCGTTGCCTTGGATCTCACGGTGCCCTGGCACCCAGCATACTACAACAAGTTGTTCGAATGTGTAGAGTGTGCATAAAATGGAGTAAAGTGAGACGAGGACAGGGTTTTTTTGTTTTTTAAGACTATGCAGAGCCGTTACCACACTGAGGGAGTCTGTATAAATTACTGCTTTTTGTATTTGTAATTGTTTGATGTGTTCAGCTGCCACAAGTATCGCATAAGCTTCCGCTGTGAAGATACTTGTGCCTGGATCTAGAGGGCTAGCATCTAAAAAGAAAGGGCCAACAGCAGCGTAGGACACAGAGGAGTTGGACTTAGATGCATCTGTAAAGAACTAAGGACGTGTGTATTTGTGTTGAAGTTCCAGGAAGTATGTTCGAATATGGGCAATTGGCGCATGTTTTGTAACTTCTAGAAAATACACATCGCAGTCTATAGTCTGCCACTGCCACGGTGGCGGGTATACTGCAGGAGCCATTAAACTGTGTTCAAGTGACACTCCAGTTTCCTCAGTTACGCCCTTCAGGCGAACTGAGAAGGGCTGCCTCATCGAAGGCCTGTTTTGAAACAAAATAGAGCTCGACAAATCATTATTAGTGGAGTAGGAAGCGTGCTTCTTGTCTGCTTTCACCTTAAGAAAATATACAAAGTACATGTAAGTTCTTTGTAGATGAAGCGACCATTCATTTGACTCAACGTAAAGGCTTTCTACAGGACTGGTGCGAAAAGCACCTGTAGAAAGGCGGATGCCCAAATGGTGCATGGGATCCAGCATCTTCAAAGCACTTTGAGTCGCAGACTGATAAACAACGGCCCCATATTCTAAGCGTGTGTGAATGAGGCTCCTATACAAATTCAAGAGACATTGCCTGTCGCTACCCCACGTAGTACATGACAACACTTTCAGAACACTCATGGCTTTTATACATTTTGTTCTTAGATACTTAATTTGCGGTACGAAGGTCAACTTGTTGTCCAAAATTAGGCCTAAGAATTTATGCTCGGCATTAACAGACAGACGTTGACCATTCAATTGAATGGCAGGTTCTGAGTGCATACCTATCTTTCGGGAGAACAAGACACATGTGGTTTTTCGTGGGTTCAGTCGGAATCCATATTCTTCTGCCCTTTTAGAGACCTTGTTCAAAGCTAGCTGAACATGCCGTTCACACATTGCCAGGTTGCATGACTCAAAGCCAAGCTGGTCGTCATCGACATATGTACAACAGAACATATTGACACGTGCGGTTCTTTTGGTTTACGAAGGAAGACGCTATCACTTTCTGTTAAGCGCAACGCAGGCCGCGTTTATCTTGTATGCCACTCTGGAACGCGTTACGACGCGTGTATAAAAAACTGACACGTGCGGTTCTTTTCGTTTGCGAAGGAAGACGCTATCACTTTCTGTTAAGCGCAACGCAGGCCGCGTTTATCTTGTATGCCACTTTGGAACGCGTTACGACGCGTGTATAAAAAGCCGGCGCAGTGCGCCACTGGGGGTCTTTTTTTTTTCCGTCGGCCGACGACTGTTCACGCCGCTGTTGCTGTGAGTTGTGTTTGGCCCTGTTTTGCTGGGCACAAGTTCGCCCAATAAACAGTTCGCCTGACACCGCCCTGACTCCTGCGTGCTTCCTCTCAAGTGCTGCGTGTATCACAACCTCGTGACATCTGGTGGAGGTGCTTCTCTGTCCATGTACCGTACGCCCCCGTCCAGCCGTGAGCCAAGCCCAAGCCGCCAAGAGGACGACGCCGACCCGGTCGTTCGAGTGAGCCGAAGACAACAAGGACTACCGCCCGAATACCTGCCGCTCCCCGACAAGGACAAGAAAACAAAGGCTGCTACGAAGCCGGCATCCACGATGACGGAAGCAAGGTCTTCGGCAACCGTGGTCGTCAACCAGCCCAAAGAGCCGCCTACCTTCCGCGGATCGACCTACGAAGACCCGGAAAGCTGGCTTGACATTTACGACCGCGTCGCAGCCCTCAATAAGTGGGACCCGGACGACAAGCTGCGTCATGTGTATTTTTACC